CCCGATGATCCGTCGAATAAGTTGTCAATGTCTAAAAGCGAATGTATACCCTTGGGGCCGGCAGCGTTCAGATCTGCGAAGTCCACACACCTGCACCATTTGTTGTTGGCATTTCATACCAGAACTACGTTGGCCAGCCAGGTGGGGTACTTTGTTTGTATGATGAATCTTGATTTGTATAGTGTTTCTACCTCTTCATCTATGGCGGCCCTCTTTTCCTCGCTTACATTTTATTTTCTTTCTACCACTAGCTTGGCAGATGGATGGATGGCCAAACAATAGCTTACGACTTTGGTGTCAATACCTGGAACGTATAATGAGGCCTAAGAAAACAGGTCGATGTTTCTTAGAAATCGGTCGGCTAGCTCCCGCTCCTACTCTATAGATAAGAAGGTGCCTATCTTTGTGACTTGGTAAATGTGAGGACCTATCTAGACTTCCTTCAAGTATTCTGTAGGCGTGAGTCACTTTGCCTACATACCTTATATGGGGTCCCAACCCTCGCAGTCAGCAATTAGAGCTTCAGAATGATGAGCATCAACCAATGTGAGCTCTTCTCTGGCTGTCTCTAGACTGCTCAGATAACATTTGTAAGCTATTTGTTAATCCTCCAAGGCGGTGCCTACTCTACGATATAAGAGCACATATTTTAGGGTTAAGTATCGTGTGGACACAACCTCCCCAAGGATGTTGATGGCTGGGAGTCCCAACGTAATGTTTTAAGATGACACAGTGTCTACGATGACGTAATTGACATTGACGGTTTTGGCATTAGCTCCCTCGCTGCAGGGTTTTTTTGGGGTCACATAGCCCATTATTTGTACATGTTCGCCTGATAATCCTATAAGAGATCCATTGAACCTCTTTATGTCGTCCAGATTCGGTTGTAACTTCTTGAAGGCGTCCCGAAATAGGATATTGGTTGAGCTACTCTGGTCTATCAGGTTGCACCTGATGTCCCAATTGTTGTGCTGAACGGTGATTACTAAAGGATCAATGTCGTGAGGGTCGGTGCCTATCACATATTCTATAGAAAAAAATGATATTGACCATTTCTATTCCTACAATGTTTTTAGTAAAGCTAAGGTATATGATGTTTGTCGTGAACACCTGCTTCGCGTATCTTTGTCGGGCAGCCCTAGGGAGGCCCCTCCTGAAAATACATCTGGCAATGGTGTTGGCTATGTGGTGTCAGACCCTGTTAGTCATCTCCAAAAAGATGAGGGTGATAAGATTGGAGTGAAGTACATGGTCGATGTTAGTTATACTGAGGCCCAACTGTTTGCGCCACTGTACTTGTCAAAAAGTACAGGGTCTACGTGTTCCCTCGGCAAGGGTATATGGACTCAGATGCAATTGTAGGTGTACTATAATTTGGATTCTGAGGGCTTTCTCGTGGAAGAAAGAATCAATTTATGAGGGACCAACTCACGTGAGGTGAGAGGTCCTGTTGGTGGTTGGCGCTGCTGGGTTGCAAATGGACAGTTAGGTTGATGGTGTATTAAGGCTACTATGAGCGTAATGCTCTCTAAGTAGTGGTAAACATGTATGACTTGAGCCTCTCTTATCCCTTAGAGGGTATAATGTATTTATAGAGGCTTTAGATCCTAAAGTTACCTCGGAAAAGGCCACTACTCACTCAGTCAAATGATAGATAATTGAATCCTTATTTCTGAGGGTGATAGGGTCAGAAATGACTCTGAATTTATCTTTATCCAAGAGATGTCTTATTCGATGTTTATTTCCCTCTAGGTGCGAGGAAAACTTAAGGTCAAGACAATACCTCCCTTCTGGGGACCTCACAATGTCGCCTTTTCCTAGGGTGGTCCTAGGGTATTGCCATAGGCAAGGCTTTTTGCAAATATAACACTATAAAAAATATTTTACAAAATTAGATTTTGAAATACATTTGTAAAACAATCAAGATAAAATTAACAAAAATAAGAAAATCAGATAGAAGTAAATGTAGTGGAAAAGAATAACTGAAAAGTAAGGAGTTAATGGAAGAGAGAACAATACCAGATATTTATAGAGGTTTGGTCTAAGAATTCCTTAAGAAATTCTTCTTGAAAGTTTCAACTACGATGTGAGATTTTGATAGTTTTGCTCACGAACCTCCTTATACAAGGATTGAAGTTTTACAATGGCTAACTTCCACACCAGACACAATTTTTACCACAAAGACCTCTACAACCAAAAATAGATTTTACCAAAAGAAAATATCGAACCAACTGAGGGGTTTTAACACCAGGATAAGCTCACGAACCGACTGAGAGTTTTAATTACAAAGGCATCCTCAACCAAATAGAGGTTTTAACTGGCTTACCTCAACAACTAAACGAGATATTTTCAAATGATTTAGCTCACACCAAAAAACAAATTTCTCACTTAAGAGAATTTACAGTATTGCTCTTACACTATACCCAAACACCTAACAGATATAAAACTTCACTCTGAAAAACATTAAGGAAAAGGTGAGAAAATAAAGAGAGAGAAAGGAGAGTGAGAGAAAAGTACTTAGAATATATTTTCTGGCGTGTTAAAAACAATAAATGAACCATCTATTTATAGAAAAAAAATTGGTGACTCATATATGGAAACAATGTATGAGCTTTTAAGGCTAATAATCAATTAAGGTAAACTAATAATTAATTATCAAGTACAAAAATGGAAAATTTTCAAAATAGTTGTTACTAGTCGATTATAAGCATTAATATTATATTACGGGGAGTTATAAAAAGAGATAATTGATAACGTTTAAGGTCTAATTAGTTATATAATGTAAATTTCACCCACAAAGAATTTTAAAGTTATTATCCAACTAGCTAGGCACATAAATATTTTTTTGATGATTTTGATAAAATAAGAGAGGCTTTCTAAACATTGAAGGCGTGTGTGTGTGTGTGTGTGTGTGTTATTTGACTTAGTAAATTTGAGAACTTATCTTATACCTTTACAGGCACGAATCACTCGAATCAGACTCTGTGAGTTTCACATTTCCTCTCTTTCATAACTATGAAGCTTCATGTTTCTTGCTACATTATCTTTGGCTCTAACACTTCATTATAACCTTGAATCTTTTTTCTGATGAGGCTTGAGATAACTCATCATGATAGACACCACCATCAAACACTCTGCTTGATTAGAAATCTTCATTAACTTCACTGAATGTCGCTTAACATACAATGTTGTCCTCCAAAGGTAGGCTTTGATAACTTGATCTCCAAGTATCACAACTTAATCATCATAAACAGAGATTTAATATCTTTGCGCACCACAACTTGATCATCATAAACTAAATTTGATATCTTGAGAAGCACAAATTGATCATCAGATGACACATTGATCTTCAAACACCACCGTTTGATCACATTAGATGAAATCTTGATCTTCAAGCATCACAACTTGCATAACACATCAGATGCCGACTTCACTTATAATCTTCAAAACCAAAAGTCTGGATCACCACTACTGACAAGGACTTTACTTAAAAGCATTCTCAATATTGAAATTAAATATATTGCTACAGACATTATACCTACAAGCACATAGATCCACAAGAAAACCCCTCGAAGACATCGAATGTACCACTTAGATAGTTATGACTCACCGATTTGTGCTTTTCTAAGGCGTTCATTGGTAAGTATTTCAAAAATGTATAAATTTATCGTACTATGCAAGCTACAACATGAAATTCTTCCACTAGTTAAACTCCTCATCAGTTAGGGTGGGTTTCCGAAAGAAAACCATTGATTTGTTCATCGTTCTCCATCTCAACTATCTCTAGCTGTCCTTCTGAATTTGAATATGCTCTATTTATCTGAAATGCTCTTGATGATGGGCTTCAAGAAACCTTTAATGTTTTCTTCAGATTGTAATTCTTTGGATCACATGCCACTAAAGTTCTCTATGAAATGAAATAAAGTGAAAATGTTAGAGGACGTTCCCCATATGTGACATGAAGTGATATGAGAATAGATCTTCCTTTTCACGGGTTATTGGAAGATCTAGTGGAAAAGTGTGGTAAAGCCTTCTACTTTGGTATATGGGTGCTCCCTCATTCTCACAAATCAATGGGTGATCCATTTGAAATAAAAAAGGTTCCAAAAGGAATGACTCGTTTCAATTTCCAATCATATTTTTCAATTCTACCCTCTAATTAATATTACTTTCATCATTCTCAATACTTGATAAATGGCACTTTAGTAAAAATATCATTCTCTCTATTTTATTTATGGTTAGCTGGACCACTCATTGAGGGACAGAGGGAGTACAATCAAACACTTATGCATTCTATATTTAAATTGTGTGAACCAGAAACTCATTCACTTTTTAGTCTAGTAGGATCATGGGGTTTGAGACCTTATAACCTTCTTCAAGAAACACCTATCTCTGAGGACAGTTGTTAATCCATTATGTAATCTCGTTGTCTAATGCTCCTTGATCGATGGAAAGCCTCAATCAAATGTGTTTTCAGAGCGAGTGTATCTTCTTAACAAATTCTTGATGTTAAATTCGGGTTATCTGAATCCGAGTTGGGTTAGAAAATCAGTCAATCCAGAATAAAACTAAGACTTAAATAGTCTGTTGGTCCCTATAAATTAGCGAGTTTTTTTATTTTGGTCCCTGTAATTTTTTTTTATCTGAGTCCCTATATCTCACTTTTTACTTGCGTGTTAGTCCGTAAAAACAAATTCGCAGGAAAATCCTTAGGTTTCTTACAGATTTTGCCTTTTAAGACTAAAATCAAAATAAAAAACTCTCTAATTTACAAGAACCTTAATATTTTTTTCAAGATTATGACCACATAGTTATTATACAATTAAAAATAAAGAGTTGCAGAGATTCCTAAATAAAATACAATGCTGACAAGGAACACTTTTTCAATGCTCCACATTTGTTTCTATATATATGTTATACACAGAAATGTTCTTCTTCACTAAACTCTGAAATAAAATTGAAACTTCTTCCACCTATTACCCTGTTTCCTTTTTATCTACATGGATCTTCAAGCAATTTTCCCTACCACCCTTCTAATCATTTTCTTCCTCTCCATCATTGTGACACTAACACTAAAGAAGAAAACAAAAAAAGTTCACTCAAATCCAAATATACCACCAGGGCCATGGAAGCTACCAATCATAGGAAACATAGCCAATCTTGTTGGCTCTCCACCACATAGAAAACTAAGAGATTTATCAAAAAAATATGGACCATTGATGCATCTTCAACTTGGTGAAGTTTTCTTTATTATTGTTTCTTCAGCAGAATATGCTAAGGAAATAATGAAAACTCATGATGTTATATTTGCATCAAGGCCTGCCAATCTAACCTCAGAGATCATTTTCTATGATTCAACCGATATAGCTATGGCACCTTATGGTGATTATTGGAGACAACTTAGAAAGATTTGCACTGTTGAACTTTTAAGTATAAAACGTGTGCAATCCTTTTGGCCTATAAGAGAGCAAGAGATGAGTAATCTCGTCAAAAGAATTGCGTCCGAAGAAGGAAGAGTGATCAATCTTACTCAACAAGTTGTGTCAATGATGTTTTCATTCACTTCAAGAGCTGCATTTGGCAAAAAATACATCGAGCAAGACGAGTTCATAGCAGCGGTAAGAGAAATTTTGCAGCTAGCCGGTGGTTTTTTCATCGGTGACTTGTTTCCGTCTGCGAAATGGCTTCAAAATGCCACTGGTAGGAGGCCTAAGCTTGAGAGTTTGCATAAGAAAGTTGATAGAATACTTGAGATGATTATAACTGATCATAAGGAGACAAAGTCAAGAGATAAAGATGGTTTAGTCGAAGGAGATGAAGATCTGATTGATGTTCTCTTGAAATTTGAGGATAGTGGAAACACTAATCAAGAATTTTCCTTAACTAAGAAAAATATCAAGGCTATACTCTTTGTAAGTATATTTACTTTCTTCCATAACCATAGGCATATGAATAATTATGTCTTAAACGAGACTCTGATACCATGTTAAGAAATGTGGTTGGGTCTAACTCAACCCTACAAAACCGGCTGGTAGAGTGAGGATTACCCCCACTTATAAACAAATGCTCATGTCATATATTGTCTGATGTGAGACTGTTAACAAGTAGCAAGAAATTAATTAGTTATTTGTTTGATGTGGTATGGATATATTTAAAGTTTGCACCTATTAATCTTGACATTCTTTTTACTTGTAAGGATATTTTCACCGGTGGAAGTGACACTGCAGCAACAACAATCAACTGGGCAATGGCAGAAATGATGAAAAATCCAAGAGTATTAAGAAAAGCACAAGCTGAAGTAAGGGAGACACTAAAAAAATCAGGAAAACTGAATGAAACATGCATTGATGAACTAAAGTACTTAAAAGCAATAATCAAAGAGGTTTTAAGAATCCACCCACCAGGTCCACTTTTAATCCCAAGGGAATGTGCACAAGATTGTGAGATCAATGGCTATCATATACCAAAGAAAAGCAAAGTGATAATCAACGCATGGTCAATTGGAATGGACACAAAATACTGGAATGAGCCAGAGAGGTTTTATCCAGAGAGGTTTATGGACAGTTGTGTTGATTATAAAGGTAATAATTTTGAGTATATTCCATTTGGTGCTGGGAGGAGAATTTGTCCTGGGATGAATTATGGTATGGCGAATGTTGAGATGGCTCTTGCTATGTTGTTGTGTGAGTTTGATTGGAGAGTTCCTAATGGAATGAAATGTGAGGATTTAGATATGAGTGAGTTGTTTGGAGCTTCTGTGATAAGAAAAGAGGACTTGTATTTGATTCCAATTGTTTATTCTGAATTGAAGTAGTGCTTAAAAGTTGAAAGTTTCTAATGTATGGAAAGTGTAATAGTAATAACTGCATATCATTGGCAAATATCAAATTTTGCTTCATCTACATTTGTTTGCTTGCTTCAAAAATGTTTCAGAAATTTTGAGTTATGACATCAACTACATTTCTATTGAGCAAAGATTAACGACCCTCAAAATTTGTCTCCAAAATCATGTTAAATCAGCTCAGTTGATAGTTGTGCAGAGATATCAAATATAAAATCGTGGATTCGAATCTACGACAGCCTATTTATTCACTACTCAAAACTGATAAAAATGATACCGGACTTTTTAAAATATATTACCGCATTTTTTAAATTCATATCGGATTTTTCAATTGTATTTTCAGATTTTTTGTTCAAATATTTTTAATTAAATTTTGACAAGAGCATATAAAATCTCCCACCTTACTTGTAAGAGTGTTGGGCCTGCTTTTATCGTCAACCCACTCCCACCTTACCATGTAATATTTTTCGAAGATATTAGTACTAAAAATTCAAAATAAAAAGAAGATTGTATTCGAAAATTAACTTTTGGACAAATTTTTTTATTTATTTTTTAAATAAAATCATATGTACCACTAAACATGAACAATTCTAATTTATATGCATAATTTTAATTTATATTAATATATATAAATAAATGTATATTCATATTCAAAAATATATTAATGATAAACCATTAAATATTTAATCTAAATGTTCATTTATTTAATAATTCAACAGAAAATTTTTGGAAAAGTTTTTAATGTTCTTAAAACTTTAAAATGATTTGATATTTTATATTTGATACATAAATTTATTCTAAAACTTTATAGAAAAATATATATTAAAAATAAACATATCATTATTTTTTATGAAAAAACTTACGAAATAATGACTAAAATTATTTGAATTTATAATAGAGGAACTAATTTCATAAATCAAACTTTATTTTGTTTTTTGCATTCTAATTTTCAGAGAAAAGAAAGCTCTAGTAATTTAGAATTTGTGCCAAGAGGTACAGACACTGATTAATTTTTATTTTTATCAGAAATTAAACTCAGTATTTTTTAAACCTTCATTCCATAAAAGGAATTCGAGGTAATTGAAGTTTAATTTTGAAGATTCGAAAATTTAATAGATTTAAATATTAAAAATAAATAACTCTTACAAACTTAAGGCGTTCAAAATTAATGTTAGGTCTCAAGCTCAAAATAATAAGTTTTTCATTCTAAAACATATGATTTTTTTCATTTTTCAACAAAAGTATGTACTATTTGATAGAGTTTTTTTTTTAAATTTTAAAAAAATATATTTTGCTCAAGAATATTTTTTTAAAATGAATAAATTGTTATTTTACTTTTTCAATTCCTTACAAAAATATTAAATAATTTTTTTTAATAAGTTTTTATAAAACTTATTTTTCGGAATCAAATTTTTTTATGTTTAAGTTGAAAAGAAAGAGTGAGATACATTTGAATAAAATTGTGTTTGAATAACACTATAATACAGGGATTGTATTACATAGTATATTTACCGCTTATTGTATTAATTACATAAAAAATATACTACGATATATTTTATTTTATTCAAGATAGACAAAGGAATATTCCATAGAATATTGTATATACAAATATTAATATAATTAATTATTAACACTCCCTATTATGATGGATCATATATGTCATGAGTCGAGAATGTTACAAATGTAATTCACTCGAGAACCCTTTAGAGATTTAGTGAACATATCAACCAATTGGCCATCACATTTGACGTAATCTGTGGTGATTTTTCTTGAAAGCACCTTACCCTTTTCATAATGACATACTATTTCTATGTGCTTGGACTATTCATGAAAAATTGGATTAGATGCAATGTGAAGTGCCACTTGATTATTATATATGAGTTTTGTGGCCTGAAGATATCTCAACCTAAGCTCTTAGAGTAAATTCTTAAGCAATTCAAGCTCCTTTTAGGCTGCTGCCATAACACGATATTCAGCTTCAGCACTAGATAGTGCAACTGTATTTTGTTTCTTACCTCTCCATGAGATCATATTACCTCTAATAAGAAAATATCTAGACGCTGATATCCTATCTGACGGTGATCCGACTCAGTATACATCTGAATAATAAATGATTTTAGTACCACCTTTATCTTCATATAATAGTCTTATACTTGGCGTATTCTTTATATATCTAAGAATTTGAATGAATGCATCACAATGACTATCACAAGGAATGTTTAAAAACTAGCTCAAAGTTCTCACCGCAAATGTAATATCTGGCCCGGTGACTGTAAGATAGTTAACTCTACCCATAAGCCATTAATATCTTCCCAAGTCTTTCAATGAATCTTACCGAAATGAAAGAAGCTTGACGTTAGGATCCATAAGAGTAATAATAAAATGACAATCAAGCATACCAGTTTCATTAAGGATGTCTAATGTATACTTGTTTTGGTTGATTGCAATGCTTGGTGAGGATTGAGCAACTTCAATGCCTAAGAAGTACCTGAGTGGACCCAAGTCTTTTGTTTGAAATTTTTTGAAAATATGAGTTTTGAGACATTGGATACTCTATGTATCGTCTCTAGTGATAATAATGTCATCCACATAGACCACTAGAACGATGCGCTGACCAGTGGAGGAATGAAGGGAGAAAACATAGTGATTTACTTCACATCTAGTCATACAAAACTGTATCAAGGTTGAGCTAAAGCAACCAAACCAAGTACACGAGGATTGGTTTGACCCATAAAGAGAACGACGAAGCCACCAAACAAGTCTAGAATTTCCAAGAACAGTAAAACCTGGAGGTTTATCCATATAAACTTCCTCCTCTAATTCTCTGTGTAAAAAGGAATTTTTAATGTCCAACTAATGAAGCGACCAATGATAAATGCCATTTGTTCTGTGCCGACCAAAGACCTGGGACCAACCACTTCGCGCCGCCCAAAGTTCCAAAAGCACGATGCTCATTACGTAGCCTACTCTGCTAGGCCTAGAGTATAAATACCTTCATAAAAGGTTCTAAGGCACACAATCTCTAATCTCCAGTTTCACTACATTCAATCTTGAATACTAAACTGACCTTGGCGCTGGAGTGCCAACCATATAGGTACCCCTTAGGTACATCATATCGGAGACGACAACATTGTCAACAACATCACATCAACATCAATACCTCTAGTCCAAAAAGCACCGTGATCACAAACTTTGATCCACAGTTTCACAGTAAGGTAACACATCAAAAACTCAGTTCCACCGCAATTTCTGCATTCATTTCCAATTGGGATTTTGCAACAAAATAGTGGCACCGTTTATGAGAAACGACTTCCAATTCCTAAGATTTCCACGATTCCACATTCGACTCTCAAATCTGAGCTCCGAAGAAATCTCCAACAAAGGAATCAAAGTTTCACGAAGCCGAAATCTCATATCTACACCGTTGTATTTATCAAACACTAATCCAATTCTGAGAAAACGATTACGTCAATTTCGAGCCTCCTTGGAATGACTTCAATGGAAGCCTCTAATCAAGATTATGTCCAGGAACACCCTGGATGACAAGGGACATCAACATCGAATGCTATGGAAAGCCGACCGAGACACACTTTTAGATCCGAGTTTGGATTCGGAAGTTCAGGGTCCATGACGCTTCCAATCGAGCAAAATCATGGGTTCATTCTCACCCGACACACCTCTGTCCGAGTCTCACCAAAATCCGAGGGAAATTCATCCCAAATGCAGACGTGGCCAGAAGGATTCGTCCTTAGAAAGCATGTCGGGTACGACACCACCCCAGGTATCCCATCATCGTAAAAGCCCCACATAGGATATGTCATCAAATTGACACCAGAAATCCAGTCTCGGACAATCCGCAAGGCTCTGGGACCCCGACATGATAAAAAGGCTACAAGATGACGAGAACCTTAAGCGTAAGGCCACTCGATAAGTAAAGCTATTGGTTGGCCACTAGCCATTGACCATATCCTCCTTCCAACATCTCAAATTCCCAACTGAGGAAAGGTGCATTGTGGGACCGGCGAAGAACTTCTAAAGATAGGCATCGACCTAATGTAGGAGCCAGAAACATCCCGAGCCAAAGACCCAATTCCTAGAACCAGTCAGGAACCCGCCCACTCTGGGCCCAACTGATCATCAAACCACTCGGATATCACATCCAATGGAAGTTCCCGGTATACACTTGCGTCAGGCCGCAAGATTTAATTAATGTATTTGTAAATTAATTATATAATAGTGTAATGATATGAATGGAAGTTCCCGGTATACACTTGCGTCAGGCCGCAAGATTTAATTAATGTATTTGTAAATTAATTATATAATAGTGTAATGATATGTGTGTGTGTGTGTGTGTGTGTGTGTGTGTGTGTGTGTGTGTATATATATATATATATATATATATATATATATATATATATATATATATATATATATATATATATATATATATATATATATATATATATATATATATATATATATATATATATATATATATATATATATATATATATATATATATATATATATATATATATATATAATTACAATCTTGTTGTTTTGCTTTCTGCTTTCTGCCTTGTCCTCTTTTTAGGGCACCAAAACAAAAATGCACATAGCAGCATATATGGGAATAATTGATACAATTGATGTTCGTCCATGAAATTCGAGGGAGTTTTCGAATACGTTTCGAGCACCAGACTACAACAATCAAAACCCCCTGACATTTTGCATACATGAAGTCAGGGGTGCAATCAAATACTCTTCGAGCGTTCCTACAGAAATCAATTCCCCACAGCGCCCCGTGCGCCTTCAGAAGTCAGAGGTGCTATCGAATATGCTTTGAGTGCCCGACTACAGCAATCAATTCCCTATAATGCCTCGTGTGCCTTTAGAGGCCAGGGGTGTTGTCGGATACGCTTCGAGCGCCCTGCTACCGCAATTAATTTCCTGCACTACCCCGTGCGTCTTTA